TGCGTTTCTTTTATTGAATAGTATATTTCTGTAAATCCTTTGTTTGATCTTTTTGAGTGTATATTTAGTTAATCATAGTATATACTCGTTTTAATTATGGTATAATGTGTATTGCAATGTGTATTGTTTCAATACACCTCGGTAATCCTCTGTTTGATCTTTTAATTGTTTAATGAGCCAATCCTAGTATATACGATTATGTGATAGCTTGTGATAGCTACTCACTTTCCTTGCATACCATTGGATAGTTCGCACTGATGTTTGCACTCGGCAAACCTCAACAGATTCAAATACCCTACACCTCTTAGGCCACATCAATTAAGGAAGACCTATAAAAATTGTCGGTCTTATTTATACGGCAAAAAGAATTATCTTGCTTGGTTGTACTGTTCAAACGTTTTTAGTTCCATATTTTTCATTTTTGAAATTTTAAACAAAATATCTTTAATATGATTCATGTGGCTGTTGATTGATCTAGAGTCCGAAGAACAGAAAATCAAATTAGTGTGGCCTTACCAGAAATTTCGGAGAGAGAGAGATGGGGTTTAACGTCCACTCGACACAAACTAGGTCATTTCCAGACTAACACATGGGTCAATTTTATTTCAATAATTCGCTTGCGCGTAGGGGTCTTTAGCAGTGGCGGGGGGGGGGGGGGGAGGAGGCGGATGACCCGGAGAAAACCCACGAGGATGGACAAGCGACCCTACTCCTTGTCACGTACAACCGGGGAATCGAAACCCCGCCAGTTGACTCAATGACAGGCCGTATGATACAGCGCGGCGCGCACGTGCTAACCATTTGGCCACCCAACCCCCTTTCCCCCCCCCCTCCGAAATGTCGGTCGTAATGCTTTAAGATGTCTATAAATGATATGATAGGGGTTTGCAGTACTACTTTTCTGCTCTGACCAGAAAATAAAGACGCACGTACGCCATACGGTATGCTATGGGGTAAATTTTGGGGGCACGCCGGAAATTGCAGTTGAACTTACTCGGCCAACACCGAGAGAGAGACGAATTAATATAAGCCTTTGGCTTGTTTTTGAATCCTTATACCTTTTGACAGTGTATGTATACAATATCCAAGTTATTTGAATAAAAATATTGTTTAAATCAACACCGAGAGAGAGAGAGAGAGAGAGAGACCACGAGGTTGGACAGGCTAGCCTACTCCTTGCCACATAACTAAAGCAAAACTGCCGGATCTCACTCTCATTAGTAATTGTTACAAAGTTGAGAATTATGAAGATATATATCGAATTCAATTTCTCGTGAAAAAAAATACATTCTCATCAGAAAATAGCATGTTTAGCAATGGATGGTCATTAACATGGACTTAGATCCAGCTTTGGCTTACTGATTTCATTGATAATTGACGAAATGTCAACCGTATTGAAATAAATGACAGTACCGCGGATTACTTAGCCTAAAGACAAATGACGTCCATTTTATCACGAACTGCTATTTATCTGCTAGGAATATAGATGTAAAGAATATACTTAGAATCTGACGTGAATCAGACATTGAAGCAAGAATTGACGAATTGATTAAGTTTTTATTTTACACAGAACACATCAAAGGCATGGTAAAAGGCATAGCTCTTAATCAAAAGATTTGGTTTCAGCTCAAGGGAGAAATGGTGTGAAAGAAAATGTTGCAATGGTATGGAATCTAACAGCTCGACGACATTTGGGCGAATGTTGCCCAGGAAGTGTTTTTTCCGCCTACTGTTCTTCAAATTCCACATGCCAAGGGTATTGTACGTACATTGTGTACACTGATTTCCAATCCAATCCTTGAGACTATGTATCATTTTTTGTTCGTCAGTCCTACACACCCCACCCACTTACAACTGTTGGTAATTAAAGATGAGTTTAAAGAAGCATTATGTAAGATTTGGATAAAGAGCTGGACATTGTTCAAAAATAGATAATGAATAATGAATAAATTGAAATTTACATTCAAATTACTTTATTCTAAGCCAAGTTATCAGGCTTTGAAGATGCGTAGCGTAGATAGTTTATTATCGTAACAATGGCACTTGACAATTCAGACTAAGTCTATATTATCCATTTTTAAATTTCTTAATCAAATGGCAATCGTGTTCCGATCCATTTAAATCTCGGTCATCCAATGGCTTAGAGTGTTGATTATAAGCTTGTGATATGAATAAAGGTCTAAATAATAGTGTATATAACATTTGAAGCCAAAATAAAGACCTACAATAGGCAGAATTATGTCTTACATAAAGCGTCTTTAATATCTGCTGTCCTGTGCCACTTTCCTACTATTTTAACAGTCGTGACCGTAAATCGGCATAATTATTCAACTATTTGCGATGAAAATTGTCAAATTTCGAGATAAATCAGTAAACTACCCCATTGAATTGGAATAAAAAAAAATCAGGAACTGTGACAATGTGGACACATTGGAAGTTTCTACCAAAATCTGAAAATTTGATAAGTCAGTCATTTGTCTGTATAATCCATCTAAACCTTTTTTATTGGTATTTGTGTCAACGTTCCAGGGGGTCACGGTGGCTAATTGTGTAAGACGCTGGCTTGCTAGCCTGGAGGTAAGTTCATCCAGATTTTCCGGCGTGGTTCCCCATTGTCAGTGATGCAGGACGGGGAGACTGACAAAGACAGCTGTCTAGTCGTTCAGGTGGGACGAAAAAACGGGGTCACGTGTACACATTGGCGTGCACGTAAACGATCCCTTGACAGTTGGAATTCGATATAAGAGTAGGCAATCTGTTTCAAAGAGGATTACGAAAGTATTCTAATATTTCTGAAAAAGATGACTACCTTCAACACGTGACGTCTCATCACGCAGCGTCAATCATTGACTCAATGTCGCGTGCATTTTTACATAAGATGCTACTGGTTCGGGCAGAATGGTGTCTTTTACTCATTTTAATATCCACTTTCACTAAATAGGAAATAATTCTTACCTACAAATACGTCAAACGTGTAAATAAATAAACAAAAATGTTTTAGAATTTAATTTGTCAATATTTGTGGCTCATTAAGTCGCATCTATGTCATCCTTTTCAGTGATTGTAGCGGCCTAGCGATCAGTGTGAAGAGCAGGTCGCAGTGCAGCTATCGGGGCAAATTTCCCCTCGTAGCACACTGTATGACGTATGCCTGTCTTCATTAGCCCAGTCGAAAGATCTGGATGTGTGACTTAGAAGTTGTGTCCTTTCTTTGAAAATCACAAAAATAATCGTCATAGCCTAGCTGATATTCTGGAGTTATAATATTGCACATTGTATCTGGTTTAAAACAAAATTCGGTATGTAACTTATAAGAAATTAATTCTTTATTTGAGAATTTAAACTATTATTGCCATAGTTTCGTTGATATTCTGGGGACTTCATTGCAGCGATTACTTCGTCAAAACAGATTTGGATACGCGGCTTTAAAAACATCGATCCTTAATTTTATATTCACAACTTTTATTGACGTTTATAGGAATCGATATATGTATGCAGATTATATTATACTCCAAACGTTAGTGTACATTAAATCATGTTTCGTTTATTAAAAGGAATTGTGTATAAAAATAGAAAATGTAATATCCATAGCGGAAGCCACATTGGAAACAAATCTAATTCATTATAACGCGCACAAAGCAGGTAACTTTCTTGACATGGTAAGGCCATGCAATCACTTTTAACATTTCCTAAGTCACGAATTTCTCAGCAGGACATTCCGCTGGAACATTTAATTTCATGTCAATCTACGGAGGAAGCCGTGGTAGCTCAGTGAGTAAACTGCTGGTTCGCTAACCTGGAGGTCTTGGGTTTGCTCCCCGTGTTGGCCGAGAAAGTTCAGGAATGTGGATCTGACAAGAAGTTTGTAGTCAATCGGATGGGACGAAAACCGAACCTTTGACGCTTGGAATTCGATATGAGTAGGCTGTAGCGCCGCTGTCCGGGCAAACTTTCCCTCATAGCACACTATATGACATATACCCGTCTTCATTAGCCTAGTCGGAGCAGAAAGGGGAGACTTCCATTTCATTTCAAGCTACGGATTTGCTATCTCTAATATAATGACCCGACCCTGTTTCTTGCATTTAATCAAGGGTGGTAACTCTTGTTTAACGACAAAGTAAATTAAATTGGTCATAAGACAATGCTTTCATTTCTGTTTTCTCCATTGAATTTAAGATATTTCTAGAAATTTGAAATTGGAATGACCTGTTTACAAGTTCGCTGTGCACTTATTTACACGTTAAATCGCGCGCCAAATTTATAATTAAATTGAAACACACCCGAGCTGATTTGAGGAGATAAATAAAGAACGGAAAACAACCCTTATAATATGTCACATGGTTATTACCTACTTCAACTATGAGGATGAAGATAAGTCATAAAATTATTGTGTTCGTGAAAATAATAAATATATCTAAACTTACGCCCGTATTTTTTAAAATTAATATTAAAATAAATTTTTAATGAGTTTCGTTTAGAGGAAAAAAAGATCGAGGTATTTTGGCTATCTTGTAGACACCGGACACAATATCTTAGCACGTGTACGTCGTATTATTATAAATATAACTCTACATCTTCTGTTTAATTAAATACTTGTGTTTTATAAAATAAGTCAATATTCTTGCTCGAAATGTGTTAAAAACATTAAGATTAACTCAACAAGGTGTTTGATTAAACGAAATGGTTTCTTCTCACTTTGATCGTTTTTAACATTTATATTTTAACACGTTGAACCATCAAGGGGGCAATTGTAACACTCAATCCCACACAAAATAACACCTAACCCCTATTATCGGCGTTATCAAAGTTAGTTGCAAGTCAAAACAATTAGCTTTTCCAATGTGTCATTATATTTGTTTAACTTGATTAAGATATTTTGTTGATAAAACCTTTGTTACGTCACGCCCGATTGGCCGTTCGGAAGTTGTTGAACTCTGAACGAATGTTATTCTTAAGTGAAGTATACATGGTGTTTTCTGGTGTTTTGTAAAGGGACTAATTACTGTCATAGCTTGCACGTGCCTTGATTAGTATTCAACCAATGACACAGTGAGGGTTCTTTAACGTTTAGTCATCTTTTAATGGGGGATTCTTAAGGTGGGACATAATAGCTCTGCCTTCATGCAGAAGAGGTGAATATCAGCGGAATAATATACTGACAACGAAATCTGGGTGGATGCAACATAAATGTCCAGTAACAATAGCTGAAACAAGATCAAATCTCCTTTTATGTTAGATTCAGTTGTGGTACCAGCACAGTAAGAGGTGGGTAATGGTTGTTATTTATATAAAGTTCGATAAACTGGGATTTTTAAATTGAAATGAATTGGTGTTTATCGTTCCACTGTTCTGTTCTGACTAGTCTAATGAAAACGGACATACGCCATACAGTATGCAATGAGGGACATTTTGCCCGGACAGTGGCGCTACGACCTACTCTTATATCGAATTCCAACTTTCATTAATTCGCTTGCGCGTAGGTATCTTTAGCAATGGAAGTAAACCGGAGGACCCGGAGAAAACCACGAGGTGGAACAGGCGATCCTGCTCCTTGTCAAGTACAAGCGGGGAATCGGAACCACGTCACTTGTCTCAATGGCCTACCTTATGATCTAAAGCCCACGCGTTAAACCATTCGGTCACACAATTCACCATTTACAGACGGGCTAAATTACCCATTACCGCGTTGACTATGGAGACAAGTTTGACGTGTATCTGTGTTGCCGAATGGTTAACCCGTGTGCGTTGCATCATAAGTTCTGTCATTGAGTCAGTTGGCGTGGTTTCGATCCCCGCTTGTACGTGACAAGAAGTATGGTCGCCAATTCATCCTCGTGGGGTTTCTACTGATCCTCCGGCCCCCCCCTACAGCTAAAGACCCATACGTGCAAGCGAATTAATGAAATAAAATTTAACCATGTGTTATTCCGGAAATGACCATGTTTGTGTCCAGTGGACGTTAAACCCCATTTCTCTCTTGTCTGCCCGAGTTACCTGTTCAATGTGTTTTCAATACTTTGTTATCGAATAGCCACGGAATTTGTTTTACGTTTGTAAGTACTGTACACATTTGTTTGGTAGGTGTGAGCATATTGTCGTAAATAAATAAACAAGGGCGTTCAGGTGGTATTCATCATGCCACCCACGAACTTTAGAAATCGCTACATACTGTTGTCAAAGGAAAAGATAAGGAATGGTTATATTTGAAATGAAATGGGGTTTAAGATCCTCCTTTTCTGCCCCGACTGAGCTATGATGTATGTGTTATGAGCAAAATGTTGCCGGATAGCGAATTCCAATAATCAAGGGTTCTTTCACGAGCACGCCATTGTGTACACGCGACACCCGGTTTTCTTCCCATCCGAACGACTAGATGATGGTTCTTGCATCACTTACAAGTCGAACCCACGCCGGAAAATCCCAAGGAACTTTTTCAGCCAGCACCGGGGTGGAACCCGGGACCCCCAGGTTAGCGAGCAAGCGCCTCATTCACTGAGTCAGGATCTATTAAAGATCGAAAAATGGTCATAACTTCTTAGCAAACCTTTAAAAAACTGAATAAAAAATAAAAGAAATGAAATGAAATGAGGTTTAACGTCCTACTGTTCTGTTCCTACTGGGCTTATGAAGACGGACATACGCCATGTAGTGTGCTATGGCTTACTCTTATTTCGAATTCAAACTGTCACGGGTTCTTTTACGTACACGTCCATGTGTATATGTGACCTCCAGCATAAATATTAGTTATTTTTAATGAAAAAGTCCAAATGATCTAATTACGTATGTCAGTAAATTAAAAAAAAATACACTATTAGTTATTTTTAATGAAAAAGTCCAAATGATCTAATTGCGTATGTCAGTAAATTAAAAAAAAAATACACTATTAGTTATTTTTAATGAAAAAGTCCAAATGATCTAATTGCGTATGTCAGTAAATTAAAAAAAATACACTATTAGTTATTTTTAATGAAAACGTCCAAATGATCTAATTACGTATGTCAGTAAATTAAAAAAAATACACTATTAGTAAACATAAAAATATATTTTAATATCATGTTCAAAAAGATCAATAGTAGTATGCCAAGAAATAATATACTTAGAGTGGGGTATTCTAAGCAGTCGTTAGCCTTGAAAAAATATGCTGATCGTAAATTAAATGTTTAAACGTCTTTCCTCAACGATGGATAGACAGATTAAATGTATAAACGTCTTTTCCTCAACGATGGATTGACAGATTACTCCCCAGTTTTGCACACAATCGAATTAAGCATGGCGATATAATTCAATAACATCACATCAGTATGAGAATTTATCACCACATTGGTTGAAGATCTTCACAGCTTCACTGCCTCTTTAAATTGAGGTGTAATTATTAGGATTTACAATGATTCTTTCACACAAAAGACAAACAATCATCTTCCTTTCTCTCTTCAAAGTTATGGCAAATATAACCCAGACGACAGATAAAAATAATATAATTTTGGTTCAAGCCATCTTTATCCACACGGTGTCATGGTGGGTACACCAGACGTGACATTTCAAATTTAGACGTAACAATATATATACATGTATATGAACCAGCAACAGCCAATAGATGTTTGTTTACCCTTCCTTGAATGTTGTATGGTGAGCCTTCTATTCTCCTCCACTTTCACAAACAACACTAAAAAGTTATTTGTTTGGATGGGTCGCTGTTTGCTTAGTTCACAATCGCGTCGTCTGCTTCGAACTGAGCCTAAAAACCTAAAGTTTTGCAGCAATAGCTATCGTGAATTGTTTTGGTTTTGAGGCTTCCTTTTGTGGTTAATAGCCCTACTGTCTTATTATGAAAATGGATTGATAAAACATAATATGGCTTTCTGCTGGAAAGTAGAATAGGATAACACTACAAAGGTAACTGTTTCTTTCTTAAAATCAACAGAATGTTCACAAACTTAAAATGTCAACTACTCAATTTTATCTAAATCGTTTATAGGAATTTGTTTTGGCTAAGACTACGAGAACTCATTGTAATTTGCAGAAAATTGATGTTGAATTTTCAACTTCTAACGACATTGGTGACCTAACTATTTTGGGAGGTTAGATATATTTGGTTGAAAGAAAACAGATAAAAGATGTCCCCTTAAATTTTACATTCTCGAAAAAGAACAAAAATTAAATTGATACCCATAATAGCGTATTGATCTTATTGAATTTGCGTCGATATATTCAGAGAAAATATGTCAATGTATGTTTCTGCACCCGAATACACATTTATCTGTTTACTCGTCAATTAAAATGTTTATAATATCATTCAAAAAAGTATAACTTTTAAAACACCAAAAATATATTTCCGAAATGTCACTCGTAAAAGAGGATGTTTGAAATGGTTCAGAAAAAAATTGTCTATCCATATTTAGCTAACATTCTAAATTTAGACTTCTTAATGGCAAAGTAGTGTATGGTCGGATAGAAAGTTAATTTCAGATTATTTTTGACATGAAAATTGAGGTAACAATTAGATTAAGATAGTTTTACCTAAATTAGCAGACATCAAAATGTTTTCCTGGCTGAATACTGTTTTCTTCATAAATATTGACGTATTTTCTGAAATGCTTATTCTTGTAAGATAAGAAGGGGATTTTTGCAGTTGGTACTATGTCCTTTTTTTTTACTCATCTTATCCCGGTGCAATAAATTCCGGGCATTCTCATTTTGGATCAATTTGTACCATGGTGGTTATATACAAAAAACATGTTTGTACTTTTCGGCCTCGATCGGGCTAATGCAGACAGGATCAATCGGGCAAAAACGGCTTTGAGCAAATTGATATAAAATGGAGCCGTTATTTGGTATTGTACACGCCTCTCTTAATCCTGTTTGACATAAAATTAATTGAACAGAAACCATGTCCACCTAAAACAAGACATTGCACCCATAAGAACCGCTATCTACTCCCAAAATAATTGGTATAAATTCTTTATGAGGGGATCTTAACACACAATTAAATAAGTCGAGCACTCGGATCAAACAATCAAAATCCCTTATTCTTGATAACGGTATTAATTTATTTAGTTTACGTAATATTGTATGTTTAGGATATTTTCATATGTAATAGATAAAAGATGACAAACACGTATATTGAAATAAATGATTTGGGAGTGTGAACCTAATGGCCCACCCTACATCATTATAAGACACATCATTTATAAACAATTGGATATATTATATAATATTATGTTATGTTTTAATACAGGCCAGGATGTTGCAACTTAATGCAACATGTGGCTAGCGTGCTTCAAACATCATGTAGACACTTAACTGAAGTGTGCAAGCTTTCAACTCATTTTATTTAATCGGGTAAAAAACATTAAAGAGGGTTTTTGTGATATGGAGGATAGGTTGAATATAGATAACAGTCTCATCACAAAATATGTTTAATCTTTTCTCCAAGATTACATTCATTTCAATTCGTTTTTCGTTCCGAAATGTATTATATTGCATATATTTACTTGCCGTATAAATCTGGAACCATACTTTTGTCCCATTTTAGCAATTTAGAAACTTGTCAGTTTAACCTGATTTTATATAGAAATTGGCAAAGGAAACCAGATACTTCTGGAACGGAATTTAACTTCTCGGCAACACAATAACTTGACGTCAGTGATAAGATTGTATCATATTATGGGGGATCTCGCTGGCTAAGTGGGTAAGAGGTCGGGTGTTCGATCCTTGCATTGGCCGAGAAAGTTCATTCAGATTTCCCGGCGTGGTTCCCCCTTGTCAGTGATGCAGGCTGGAGGGATGCAGGCTGGAGGGCCTGACAAGGACAGCTGTCTAGTCATTCGGATGAGACGAAAAACCGAGATCCCGTGTACACATTGGCATGCACGTAAAAGATCCCTTGACAGTTGGAATTCGATAAAAGAATAGGCCGTAGTTCCGCTGTCCGGGCAAAATTTCCCCTCATAGCACACTGTATGGCGTATGCCGTCTTCATTAGCCCAGTTCGGAGCAGAACAGTAGGACGTTAAACCCCATTTCATTTCATTTCGTATCATATTATGAAAAATAAAAAATCGTTCAAAAGAACAAAAAACGTTTGATGTAGCTCAACAGATTCGAAAAAGCAATACGTGTATCGGGTTAGGCCAAAGCCACAGTTTCCTCACACGCTCCGTTCAACCTATATCTACCAATACTTATATAGTTTGTAGAAGACTTTGTCTTCAATAAAAAGGAATAGCAGTATTAAACTATTTAGGTTCTTGGTGAATTTATTTTATTCATTTGATAGGACCAAGCAGGGACCAAGGGTGATTGGTAGGGAATCTGCATAAATTTATTAGAAAGAAACATAGTGTAAAATTAAAGTCCGTCTAAAATAGTCGATTCACAGTTGTGGAGAGGTATTTACATTTTCGACCACTTTAAATGTAATATAAAGCGCATCCTTACTCAAGTGTGCACGTTGTTCTGAAAAGTATACAATCAGGAAAAATGTTTGCCCTGTTCAGTATGCTTCAAGTGAAAGTTTATATTTTGTCAATAAAGGTCATTTAGTGGTTCCGTGAGAAAATACATATTTTACTTGGTTATTATGGGTGTGCTAGAACTCTCACACTACTTTTGCATTGTAATTATTACACACTATTGAATGCCATTTCAAATAAAGTAGTAATTGGATCCATTTTAATGAACTGCATTTCCTGATTTTGAATGATCCATGGCATGTCACCAAATAGAGAAATATGCACAGAGCAAATCATATCTTTACAGCTGAAAGCATAAGTTTTACTATAAAGTTGAAATAAACGCCTCTGTGTCGTGTGGGCTTGTTGTATTGAATTATCAAATATATTATCCAAACAGTACTTCAGACAATCTAAACTGTATTGTTGTGTTTGAAATTGAAAGTTTATTAAAACTTATGGGATTCATTTGCACCTTGTTTTGAAAACGGTATATCGCACAGAATTCTCATGGGTGACATTTTATCAGAATATGTCCATTGTGAACAAAGGTTTGATTTAAATTATAAGAATAATAATAGTTTAATAATAGATAATAATCAAATATATCCGTTTATAGTGTAAATAAACTCAACATAAAGTACCAAAAGGAAACTTAATAGAACATAGGAAGCGACTACTATAATGTTTAAGTTAATAAATATCAAATTGCATAATAACCTATTGTTTACATTAATTGGGAAATTTGCCCAATTCTACTCGTGACTAAAATGAGTGCGTCACCTATTATTTTATTAAAATTTGTCATGTCGAGGTCATGAAGGTCAGATTTATCACAAACCTCTTTATTTGTAAACAACAATTTTATTTGATTCAAATCAATTGTCTAGGAAACATTAATCCCACAAAACACGTCTTTAAATTTTTGAGAGAAATTGTGAGCCACGGTGGCTCAGTGAATAAGACGTGTCTCGGGTTCGCTCCCCGTGTTGACCGAGAGAGTTTTTCCGACGAGTTTTCCCCTTTTCAATGGTGTAGGACGGAGTGTCTGGCAAGGAATAGTGGTTCCGTTGGGGCAAAAAAAAACCAAAAGCCCGTAGATACGTTGGCTTGCATTTAAAGTAACCATCGACAGTTGGAATTTGAAATAAGAGTAGGTTGTAGGTTGTATCCGGGCACCATTTCACTCGGTGCAGATAAGTAGGATAAACCCCATTTCATTTCATCCCTATAAATTATTGTAAAGACTTGTTTTCAATCTGGCATTTTCATATTTCTAATATTGGTCAGGAACAATAGTCGCATCGGACGGAATGGAGTATGGAGGAAGTTTACAAACTAATACAAGGTTTCATTACGCTGAACAATCTGTTCTGACAATGGGGATTACTTCTACTTCTATGTGATTGGATCTCGTTTCTTTGTACCCAGAAAACGATCAGCCAAGCATTTTTGGTAGTTTCTCAGAGATTGGCCTAATTTCAAATTTTCAAGCACTATGAGAACATGTTTCCTAATAAAAAGGGGGGGGGGCAAACTATGGTAAATAATTAGTACCTACCCACGCAAACTGTAAGATATTGAAGCGGGAAACCGATGGCACGAGTGTACTTGTAGCGACTGCCAGATGGACTATAATGAGACCAGTAGAAGTATTATGAAAGAGGGCTCCAGGTCGCGTCCGAAGACTGACCTCTATCTTATTGTTTTAAGGCTTGGTACACTGTGATTCTCACATGACACTACTTTTGAATATTGACCCATGACAAGTCCTATAAATTAATCAGTCTATTTTAATTTCAGAGTGTTGACCGGCGGTAAATAATCTCAAGTGCGTTCAACAAATTTAACATCCTGTGATGACTCTGATACGAATATTGACAGGAAAAGAAATATTCGCCTAAGTGTGTGATCTGTTGGCTGCCGATAGGGTTCAAGAGCGCTTAAAGTTTCACTGAAATCTCCCGCCTGTTTTCATTACAATAACTTGACTCGTTGCACACGGTCGTAAGATTGAGCAACCTCCAGTCGCTAATGACCCTTCGTGTTATATAAGCTAAATTTTCTTAAATACTTACTAATTAGTAATTTGTTTAGATATACCTTTCATTGTTTGTGTGCTCAACAATGTGGATTTAATCACCCGCATTCATGTAGTGAGAAGATGAACGGTCGGACTTGTCGAGTTTAGATTAACTTTGTAACCTGTACAAATACTCCAAATGTTACGCATGGACTAAGCGTATTGGAAGGTACGGTTAGTATTGGGCTACAATTCACACAGCATAAACAGAAGAAAAGTAACCTAAAATTTTCATTTGTTCGATATGGATATTTCATCCCAGGCAGTTTTAACGGACACGAATGATTTACCTGCTACAGAAGATTTTATCATGAACGATACCATCTATCCCGAATCTGGCTCCGGCTCGGTATACGACTTTGATGTTTTCCCGACCATGTCCACGACAGATATCAATCGTCATCTCACAAGACTGAACTATGAATTTACCATTTTAATGATACCGGCGATGGTATTCCTATTACTTTTAATGGTAACTGGTATAGTTGGTAATATTTTAGTTCTACATGTCTATTTGTCAAAATACAAGCTTGGTACTACCCGATGTTACGTGTTAGCATTGGCTGTGTGCGATCTCTTGAGCTGCTGTATTTCTATGCCTGGTGAAATTGTGGACATGACTTACAACTACACCTTTACGGCAACCTATTTGTGTAAAATATTACGATCCGTGAACGCTTTTACGACCTTTTCTTCTGGATTGATTCTGATCGTCGTCGCCATAGACAGATACAAGAAAATATGCACCCCGCTTCGCATTCAATTTTCTGTGCGTACTGCCAACATCGTCGTTATCATGTGCTGCGTTGGCTCTATTCTACTGTCCCTACCAGCGACTGTGCTGTATGGAAAAAGAACTATATCAACGGGTATAGCTTTGGTAAATGGTACTGATTGTTCAACTGCAGATGCGTTTATTGGGACACCATATCCACTTATATATAACGGAGTTCAATTTTTATTCTTCATATTGGGTTCCATGGTGCTTATAACTCTGTATTCCCTGATCGGCAAACGTATTTGGAGACATCAGCATTTCAGAGATAGCGGATTAAACACTGGAAAGAAACCCGTTAGAATTTCCAGCACCACTGCTTCCGATGGTTCGAGCCCCGTAACGGAAGTCGTTAGTGCTAAATGTAAACGTCTCAGTCGTATGATCTCGACAGATACTACTCACCAGGACACACTACTCTCTAAATCAAGACGTTCTGGAAACCGTAAAACGACTTTAATGCTATTTTTAATCACAGTAGTGTTTATGTTAAGTTTCTTACCCCATCTGATTCTAATGACCCTCAAGGCATTGGATAAAAACTCTTTAAGTGGAAGTGGCGGATCAGCAGAATTAGCCCATAACATTCTGTTGCGATCATACTTTATAAACAGTGCAACTAATCCCATCATTTATAGCTTCTGCAGTAATAAATTCAGAAGCGAATGTCAAAAACTCTTCAAGTGTAAAAAGTAACAATTTGAATTCTGGAACGGACAATGGAATCATACAAGGCGTTATTTGTATCAATAATCGATAGCGATTACGGTTCTCTCATAGTGAAGTTGTGCTGAAAGCTACTGACTCTCCCACGCTATGATTGAATTTTAAATAAATTCACCGATAAATTTGCAGTTACATGTCACCGTTTTAAGAGTATCGGAAGAGGCCGTGAACATCGATATAATTTATGTTATTTCGGTACAGTATTTAAACAAAAGCTAAAAGCATATACTTCAAAGACATTAACGCTCCCATTTCCTTGAAATGTTATACAATGCTGTATTTCAAACAACAAGTCGAACGGAGCAATGACATTTTAATTGACATGTTTATTTCAGTTATTTTCCTGTTTTATTTATTTATTAATTATTTCCTTATAGAGCTATATGAAGTCCAACTTGGAATAATTTGGAATAATTTGGTGTATGTATGTACGCAGAGTCTAATTATGTGTTAATTTCCCGAACATTTTTAGATTCACTTGGTCTAACTGAGTAAGAATTAAATTGTCAAATACTGAACTATATGATGCTGTATATATTATACTGCATCATTTAGCACCTGGACATTATAATGAAGAACCATTATATAATTAGATAAATATTGTTAATCATCCTTCTTAGATTGTAGAATAACTAGTATACTAGCCATCTTCGACGGCCAAAATATGGAAAATATATGTACCTCAAATTTACAAAATTGTAATTCTAAACCTATCGAAGATGTTAGTATTGTGATAGATGTTATATTTGATATTAATATGAATACTGTTTATAATACGTCTGTATATTTTGCTTCTGTTGTTATGTATAATGATTATTACTTTTTTTGTATTTTCATATTTATAAAGTGCTGAATAAATATCTGGTCTTATGAAAACCTGATATCACTCTCCATTATGGAATGTTTCTCATGTGGTGATTCCATTGGCTGTTGCTCGACTTTCCCGAATACGTCCCTTATTACTACTACTGGCTAGGATCTCTGTGCTTGGTTTTCTTTTTAATTAAAGGTCGAAAGCTCAAAACCAAATAATTTGTTTCAGCAATTTCTAAATCTGCACGCTTAATGGCTATTAGTATAAGAATAACACAATTTTAAAATTATTTGTAATTGATCATTAAAAATTTATTAAAGACATTTGGCACCGGTCTGTTCATGGGTAGGTCCAAGTTAAGCGATCATAATAATGATAAACCTATGACATTAATGTTATGATTGTCTGATATATATTATGTAATGTGTAGATTATTATCTATATGAGAATATTTATAACGGATGCCCATTTTAGGAATTAAATTATTTTATACACCATACGCAGTCGTTTTTCTTGTGTATATCTATAGGAGAAATCAAAACAAAACGATGATTGAAAGGTTCTCAGAATATGGACTTACTATGTACCTTGGTAATACCACGTTTCTTTCCAGACTGGCAACGGTATAGACAACGTGGGGTCCACAGAAGGTCTTGGGTTCGCTCCCGGTGTTGGCCGAGAAAGGTCTTCGTGGTTTCCCCCTTGTCAGTAGCTCAGGAGGGACAGTGTTTAGTCGTTAGGATGGGACGATAAAACGAGGCCCCGAGTACACCTTGAAAACTGGAATTAGAAATAAGAGTAAGCCGTAGCGTCGCTGGCCGGGCAAAAGTTCGCTCATAGCACAGCACACCACATGGCGTATACCCGTCTTCATTAGCGCTGTAGGACATTAAATCCAATTCATTTCCAGGCTAACTATTGAGTGGAATAGGAAATCAACCCCTGCAACATCAAATTCATCCGTTCTCTCTCAAACAAAAAGGCCACAATGTAAATTAAAAATTTATGCCCGACTTTCTCAAAGTAAATGGAAAAATAAACTGAACATGTTGCTGTCTATTATGATAGCCGTTCCATTCAGTTAAAAGGTCGATTCTCTTACCCTCAGACGTGTACGTTGCATTTACGGGTTTTTACCAAGTTCCTTTTATAAAACCGAATCTATCAACAACCCAAGTTTATACGTGACATGGAGTGGGGTCGCCCGTGTCACCTCGCGGTTTTCATTAGTTTATTAATGACAAATAACTAGTGATGTGGGGATGAGAAAAGAAGATCTGGGCACTTGGGGGGGGGGGGCAAGTTGCACCACCACACCTTTACACTCTCCCCGATACTCAAAATCTTTAAATAATGACTAAAAGTAGCGCTTAATAACAGAAGTGAGGGGACGCATTTTAAAAGTATTACTTAGAGGATGAATTAATATTATACAATGTCAACAAACGAATAACTGGGAGTCACAGTGTCTAAGCAAACGAATAAGTGGGAGCCACAGTGGCTAAGTGGTAAGACGCTGGCTCGCTAGTTTTGTGGTCGCGTGTTCAATCCCTGCATTTGCCGAGAAAGTTCATCGGGATTTTCCGACGTGGTTCCCCTTTGTCCGTGGTGCAGGACGGAGGACCTGACAAGGCCAGCTCTCTAGCCGTTCGGATGGGACATAAAACCGTGGTCCCAGGTATACATTGGCGTGCACGTAAAAGATCCATAGAAGAGTAGGCCATAGTGTTTTGATTTGTTTTCAATTTTGGGTAACATACTACATCAAATATGACAACCGACGATGACGAGCCTTTGAACACGTTTTTCTAATGATGTCAAGAGGGCGGAACTCAAAGAACTTGATGTCAATAAGGACGTTCCTTTTATTAAATGACATCTACTATTATTGGCCTAGTTTATATTAGTACTTTGTACACCAAGGGATAGAATATGATAGTGGTTTAACGTCTTGTCAGGCAACCGCGGTAGTCCAGTGAGTAAGACGCTGGCTCACTTACCAGGAGACTCGGGGTCCGTTCCGGTTTTGGTGGAGAAAGTTCCCCAGGATTTTTTCAACATGATTACTCCTTGTCAGTGGTGCAGGACGGAGACTAGTCGTTCGGCTAGAACGAAAAACTGAGATCCCGTGTACACATCGGTATGCAGGTAAAAGATCCCCTGACAGTTGGAATTCGATATAAGAATAGGCCGTAGCGCCACTGTCCGGGCAAATAGCACACTGTATTAGCCTGGTCAGCGCAGAAAGCGTAGGCCGTTTAAACCCCATTTCATTACATTTCTCGTTAGCACAATATTTCGGTAACTCTTAGGTAACATATTATGGTACGAAGAAACTTAATCTATAGCCTAGTAGTCATTATTTAATGAATGTAGTTCGTCTATATTATAGTAAATCTATACACCCCACCCCCCGCTTTGCGTGTTAAATTTTTGTTGATATTTGGGTCAGAATTAAATCAGAATCTTTGAATTTACTTTTGTTCATTATTTATGCTTTGAAGGCCTAGAGATGAGAACATGGCCTCACAGTCTATATTAAAATTTCACTCATCTCGCGTATACAAAACATAAAAAAAACCAACATTTTTACCAGATACTTGAGATATGTTGGCCTCTTTGTGTTTATAAATATTAAGACCATCGGAATATTTTTTGTTTATGGATTTAAGATCGAGGTCAACCAGGAGAAAATTACCAGTCTAAACCCGTCTAAAGCCATTAGAGTTAGTTCCCTTTAATTTGTCACATCGATTTTAACACACCTTCAATACCTATAAAAGTACGTTACATTGCCTATAAAATGGTAAAAAGAAATTAGCTCAGATCTTTGATATCAAACGAATAGTAATAGAATGGAAACTGGCAGTAATTACTTCAAATGGTAGCAGATTCAAATTACACACCTTGAGCTTTTTCAGGTGGGTCGATGTCTTGTACAAAGAAACACGCTGGTTTGTTTACAAACACAGGGACGATCCATAAACGGTGTAAAACTAAATATCCAAACGATATTTTATATATTAATTTCTAAAATATTTAAAACAAAATGTGCATAAATAAACGCATAAAAACGAAATCACATGAATTGCTTTTGAATCATCATGAAACGTGCATGACTTTCAGATCTGCCGTGTGTGAATTCAACGAGTTCTCCCTCTGAATATTTCAAGAATTATGGGATATGTCAACTGGGGTTAGCGGTCGACCAGGTGGTAAATAGAGGCATGTAGCAAGTTATAGCGCACAATGTAACAAAGAGGAAAAAAGCTGATGATATTATATACTCACAATTTCTGTAGAAAGAAATCAGATTGTTTTAGATCTAGCTAGAAAATACGTTTTGTTGTTATGGGTGATTAACTTTTAAAAAATATCGAAATTTTAATGGACGCTTTTTAACTCGCGGGATAGAAGACAGTGTTTAGTATTTGCTGTCAAATCAAAAATCAAGTGCCGGAGGTCATTGTGGTTTAAAGAACATGTTGAGGTCATATTTTAACGGTGAAGGATCAGAGTGACATGAATGAAGACAGGTAGGCATGATTTACAGGTGTAATAAACTAGGTTATTTTTATCAACGTAGGCCTATATTACGCATAAGAAGTTTTATCTTATCTCGAAAGCTTATTTTGAAAATTGAATTATGTAGTATTGTATAGTTAATTATTGGCAGTGATATCAGGTTCGTATCCTGTTTTTCGTATGTATTCACTACCTAGCCTATATTAATCAATCATGCTTTTATTTATTTTTACATCTATTATACACGCTTACCTGGCCTTGTTCACCTTGAATATTAGATTGTTGTGAAGATACTATTAATCATCTCTTTCGCATGTATTTTGTACCCACATTAATCCATTATAATTAATAATCTATAAATAGAAGGCGGCTATAGGAGAGATCCTTTATAACCACATAATACTAATAAACAAGAAAAATGCTGAACAATAATTATCAAATACATGTACATAGCCATTATGCACAAGGTAGAGTATTCTTACTCTTTCTTGAAGCCCTGTAACCTCTTTAATAATGAGATTTAATCATATATTTTGTTCTGTAACAAGTTCGAATGCTTTTTTTTATTAATGCCTAGACAATAATATATAAAGGCGACTCACGGTATATTATAATACTTTTTAAAAAAAAAATATGTTTACCACATCCAAAATAGTCCATACTTTGTGTTTTCATTCAAATGAAAGTGTCTGATTTTTTTATTAGGATTAGTAAGCTGAAAATTTGTATCAAAACATAGAGTCTGAAGTTTTCTAGTTTGATTCCCACCTATCAGGAGCTGACCAGAGAACTGTGGCTTGTGGTTTAAATAGTATACCAAAAATCAAGGTCCCGTGTACAGAATAGTATTGCACGTAAAGGATTCCTTGTCAGATTAAATCTCACGGACAGTAGGTTGAAAGCCATACCAACGCCCCGCCGCCCCCTATTGCTCACATAACCATAGAAATAAAATTATCATTAATCCATTACTTATACATGTATATTATACAGCTTTATATTCTAGTAAGCTTTATGTATCTTTTTTCAGTGGGTTTGAGTGTAACAATTACTACAATAACTACATATAATAGACAATTAAAATAGGAGTGACAAAGAAATGCCATTATGTGTTAATATTTGTTCAAAGACCACCGCCATTGTCCACTTTTCAATGTTATGTTGTTGACTTTCAATATTTAAAAAAGCTACCCTCCTTGTAGTTTACTTAACTAACATGAACATGAAGTTATTTGGCATTACATATTATTTAAAATCTGATTATTTTTAACAGGAAATATGTTTAAATACAATTTTGACTTTTGAGAAATAGTTCTTAGGTTGACTAAAAATATATAGTAAATGTTGAATATATTTGCATATACAGTTTTCACTAATGAAATTGACCGTTTATACTATATAGGAGTCCTTTCGACCAAAAATATTTTAGGTCCTAATTATTGCCATCGGATCGTTTTGACTATGGACCCCTTCTGACCAAACATATTTAGGTCCTTATTATTGCCATGCAATGCCATGGACCTTTTTGACTATAACCATTGTAGATTAGTTAATGTACCCTCGAGAATTTAATGATAATCTGTATATGAAGTAATCTGATTAAAACACAGATCCTATTTCGTTTCGTTTTTTATAGTTCAAAATTTCGTTTTACTTCTCTTTACTACACTTGGATCTGGAAGAGTTTGTGTATTACCGGCGTTTTGTTTGAAATGAGGGATAAGCCAATGAAACGGTCTGTTACGGCGAGTCCTTGGTAAACCACTAGAAACGTCAACGCTGATTGAATAATTAATGTCTGACGCCATAAGGTCAAAAGCCCGTACGGCCCCTGACACGACCTTCAAGTACAGCTTGTCAGATCTTCATGTAGTGTAGGCCATCGAAAGTATAAAATAACGAAATGAAATATAGATCTGTATTTTAATCAGATTGTATATGAAGCACAAATAACGATATTTCATGTATTGTCGCTTTAAAATGTACTTTAATGTAAAAGTGTTGAAATGTAGAGCGGTGGTACATGTCTGTAACGAATGAATAAATAGTATTATTTATCTGGGCATGTAATAAACGAGAAACACACGAACGGATTCATTCAACATATAATTTAAAAAAAAAAAAAAATTTGTTTTTTAAACAAAGAAACCTCGATCTTTATCTGAAAAAAGTAAGGTCACGGTAACATTAGTATGATATTTCATATACCCGGACAATATGTTGACCTCATAAAGAACACAGGTATCTAATAAAATGTTCAGAGTGTTTAGTTTAATGATACGCTTTCCCGCTGTGTTAACGCTTGCTGTAAAAAGAGGATGATTGAAAAGCTGCTGGAGGATTAAAGTCAGAGTATCCTTGGGCTTCCCTGCATTGGCCGAGAAAGTCCAGATTTTCCGGCGTGGTTCCCCCTTGTCAGTGATGCAGGACGGAGGGCCTGACAATGACAGCTGTCTAGTCGTTCGGATGGGACGAAAAACCGAGGTCCCGTGTACACATTGGCGTGCACGTAAAAGATCCCTTGACAGTTGGAATTCGATATAGGAGCAGGCCGTAGTGCCGCTGTCCGGACAAAATGTCTCTCATAGCACACTGATATGCCCGTCTTCATTAGCCAAGTTCGGCACAGAACAGTAGGAAGTTAAACCCCATTTCATTTCATTTCATTTCCTAATTTTATTGGATAAAAGTTTACATTTTCAAGGTTAAAGCAATAATGAAAAAAGAGCATCGACAAAATTAAACAAAAACAGCAAAAGAATACATCATGCATATCGTAATATTATTAATGTTTGTGTCAGAGCAAGAAAAGAAATGCATCCAGAATAATTATTATATTATAGGTTAATGTATAAAACAAATGTGTATATACATTAATCGTGTTATTTATTGATGGTAGTTCTAACAAATATTTGATTTAACGTTTTATTCCCCGTGGCAATATCTTAATAAATAGACTATTACTATTTGGTGTTATACATTTTCAGAACATGTTTGACTAGAATGGTGGTAAATATTTGCTGTTGGTTTCATTAGTTTGAAATAATTAATGTCCATCAGATCAGATTCATCGTTAATTAGCCCTAAACTGAACTCCTAAATTGATGAATTCAAATTTATAAAAACTTTGTTTTTGTATCCAGACCCTCAAGACTCGTGATTGTATAATAATAAGAAAGAAAATGAAAAGGGGTTTTAATTGTCTGCATCGATCGGGGTAATGAAGACCGGAGGTGTAAGACAGTAGCGTTTCGGCCTACTCTTTTTCGGATTCCAACTACCGATGGTTCTTTAATGTGCACACCAACGTCGGCACTGGAACTAGGTTTTTCATCCCATCCGAACTACTAGTAAGACAACTTGTGATATTAATAAGAAGTGGTATCAGATGTTTAAAAAGTTTAAATAAACCTTGCCACTAATAATATGAAGCAACAGTAATGAAGATTGGGTTGTGACATGTTGCTAAATTTTACTTACATTTGTATAACCGTCGTCATCGTGGTAATACATGGAGAAAGATAGTTAGTACTTTACAAACATAGCACCCTTTCACAAGGTGAGTCATATTGATCATGCTGAGAAGACCAACTGCTTGTATGCATGGTGTCATATTCTAATTATTTTTAAATGCGATAAAAACACATGTTTCAGAGCTTAATTTATATCAATTATTGAAAATCAGTATTTCATAAAGTTGTATTGTAAACCATGAACGTAACAATTGATTTAAACGCAAACTGTGACTTGGTACATGACACGTATGCAGCTGTTGGCAGCATGGTGCCAAATTATACTTGTAAAATAATCCCTTATCACGCTTTGATAAATGACACACAATGCTATTCTAGTACAAGATGGTGCAGTTTTCAAATAAAAAGTGAATGGATTGAATCATAATACAGAACGTATTACTGAAAACGTGAATTAAACGGATCTTACATCATTAATATTCCTTCCCTTTACACTCTAGTTCGTTTTAGTTTTTAAGGAAATACTGCCTCAAGATGACTGACTAAAGAACTTGTAAAGTATTAACATCACTAATAAGAGAGTGTGATAATTATATTCTTTAAGAAATAAAACGTTTGTTCAAAACGTGCTATCAATGGTATAACATGGGACCTTGGTATTTTCTATAATCTCAACGACTAGACGTCTTTCAGTGTCAGACTAGACGACCCGAGACTAATATAGGGAGTTCTCGAGAGTGAACAAATGGTCATACTCTCCGAGCCAACGTAGCCCCCAGTATATCATATTGAAGAAATCAATAACAGATTCCATACTAACGATGTTAATTAACACAGGACGAATACAGAAAGTATCGTAAAATATTGTGTATTCTCTGTAGTTGTATAATATGGCATATCAGGAGGTATTTCCTGTTCCCTAACCCAGTCGTTAAATTCAGCACTATAATAACTGTTCTGTCCAACTTAATTTTTATGGTGTGCAATGCTAGGGGTGAGCATTTCAACTGTCGATAGCTCTTTTACGTGTACGTCAATGCATACACGAGTGGACCTTGGTTTTTCGCACAATCCGAATGACTAGGCGATAGCTTCCGGACTCAGTCCTGCAGGCTCTGGCCCTGGCAATTCTTCTTGACCATTGTCAGTATTCGAACCCTCGACATTCTGGACTAGAGTCCTGGGTACTTACCACGCGACTACCACGGGCACCCGTACACGGGAAGATACCAGTTGATTTACATAGTATTTGTTGCCATTGTAAGAGCCTGTGGAATATTTAGAATTAAACACTTCGAATCTGTCGTTTAGGAAACACTTCTAATAGTTACTGTAATTTAAAATTTACTGTTGTACCAAAGGTATGTCATGCGTTAGTCCTGGCTCGACCTAATAGTTAATCCAGTTTTTGTTCTATAACCACAGCTGTTTATAAACACAGCCCATCAGTTATTTGTACTATTAATTATTGCCGTCACTTTAATACGTCATTTGTTTACAAACTACAGTTGTAATGCAGGTAAACATGTTTTTAAAAAACTAACAAACACAACCACCGTGATCGATATTGTCAAATTTTTGACATATTTAAATGTTTTACTGAGAGTGTAACAAATTGTGTTACGCTGTTTCCTCGGTTCTATCTGATTCACCCATTGGATTTGCTATGGGGTTATTGTGCTTATTGTTTGTATCCGTGACTATAGTTGCATGAACACTTATGGGTGAGAGTGAGAAGGAAACACAAATGTTTTGGTTTTTGAATTGCATGCATCATTGTTTTACATAAAGCTTCATAAAGATTTTATTTCTGAGGATCAGTTTACCTTAAATGGTGTGGAGAGTTTTATTAAAAATGTATTTGATATTTTAGTTGTATATTATGCAATGTTTATTTTATTTCGTAAAAAGTCAGCCGATGTAAAATATACAGTCTCGTATGTCCGGTGAATAGTTAGATGTACTACTGTGTATATTTTATAGGTTATCAAGTGAATATTTAGATGCATAACATTGTATATTTTATAGGCTATCTAGTGAATAGTTATAGGTGTATACATTGTATATTTTAGATGCTATCCAGTGAATAGCTTTAGATGTATAACGTTGTATATTTTAGAGGCTATAGACGTATAACATTGTATATATCAGATGTTGTATATTACAGTGATAAGTCCGGCAATGTTTGATGTATAATGTTGTATATTCCAGATGTTATTCAGTAAAGCGTCAGCCAATGTAAGATGTATAATGTTGGTTTGGTTATATTAATATTAATGGAAATGTTGACATGGTGTTACTCCACGGGTAAGCATAAACTATTATCACTTATACGATGCTTATGCAGATAAGGGCATGTGAAATAAACCAGACACACCCCTGTCTAAAATCACTATTAAAAGTATATACCAACCTTCATATAGATGTTCATGGCATAAATCAATAAGGAAGGGAGAAAATAGCGAACACTACTTCCCTAATAAAACGGCGAACACAAGGTAATGTTTATTTGTGTGGTTAAGGCTGGGCGAATGTTGCCAGAGTATCATTACGTGCACTTCTTTGTACACAAGACCCCGGCATACAAGAACTAGACACGCCATCCGTGTCAGTCCGGTAGACGTTACATCTGACAAGTTGGAACCGGGCTTCTAAAAATCAAAATGCCCTTCTCTATATTTCTAGTTGTCCATGAAAACATTTTTATTCCTGTGAGAAACATAGTTGCCACATTACCCGACAACTGCCCATTTCCAAATCTGTGTCACCACAACCCCCTCCACCGAATCTACTTTTGTTGTGTACAGCATTCCTGATATAATTCATATTTCATGTGTATATCTCTACATGTATATACAACCAGGCCCAATGAAAGGGGGTGCAGCTGGTACGACGTCCCGGAGGCCGATGAAGGTTCAGGGGGCCATAAATATCTAGTTAATTTTTTTTACGTCGGTCGGTATTACCACATATCGCCCGATCCGATCCCCGATGCCTTACTTTGGCCAAATTTGTCTTGTTCTGACACATAAAAATTCTCCGTTATACAATATCTTACGTGGTCAGGTGTTCGTGAAAAACCTGTTATGTATATAAAGGCTGCCAGCTGAACAATTATTTGCTAATTACTCTTCAATTGCTAGCAGTATTATGCCGTATCATCTTATGTAATGTTCTTAATAAGGGATTTCCCCTTTCTTTAAGCACATGTTGTGTATACTCAGGAATACGACGCGGTGTTTGTGATTCTCCTAACACGGCGAATGGCGAACACCAAAAAAATAGGGGTAATGCGACTTGATGATCGGGATTCCTTTATTTCCCGCGTATTTTTATTCTGCTGTAAAAATTGGAACTAACTGAAAATTCACAACGAAACGAAGAAATAAAAAGTGATGAAAACATGAGAAGGGGTATATTTTAAATGTCATTTAAAGACCCCCCCCCCCCCCACACACACACACACCCTAAATCACAATGCGATCATTTTGTTAAGTTTTCAATTTCTGTCCGTTTTATTATCTTCAAACGGAAACTATCAGGCCGTATATTTATACCGGTAATAAAACAGACCGAATTTATATATTTATATATACCCGTACATACTCTTTCTTTAATAGTATCTTATGTTTTATTTATTTATTTATTTGATTTTTATTAATTTTGGGGGGGGGAGGCGGGGGGGGGGGTACTTATTATTTCACCAGCGTATATTTTTTTAAAGACACTTTTTCTATCGCCACAGATTGGGCAATGGGCATGTTTATATTACAAAGTAGGCAACAATTCAGTCGAATCTGCCCATCTCGAAATCTGATTTTGGTTTGAAAAACTCTAAATAATAATGATTTCATCAGTGTAGAATTATTAACACATAAAAGCGAATATTTTGAATAAAAAAAAATATGCGGGATATAAAGGAATCCCGATCATCAAGTCGTATTATCCCTATTTTTGGCGCCGAATACGACGTGTTGACTTAATTAGCGCCATTCCCATAATATCATTTATTATGGTGCAGTAATTACACGTTAACGGATCAAACTAATAGCTAGAAAATTAGATATGTTGCAAACAAAGGGTTACACAAGAAACTTATGTCATCAAGCTGTTAACTTTCCATTTAATCAGGCCAAGAAAAAAATACCCATGTTTACGAATCCTTGGCCCTCAAAGTTTTGTGGGTTTTGTATTATCTATGTCCTTGCATTTCTAGCTTCACCTCATTTGTAGCTATTTATTGCATGTTTGATAGATGTCATATTACATCATGGTATATACATATATCTAATTCCAGGAGAAAATAAAGCAGTAATATCACAGTGTGAACAATTGAATTGTGAAAATGAGAATCCGTGTCGAACTATCTTGTCAAAAAACAACGATAATGAACAGAAAGTTGAATGCTTCTGTCAAGGAAAATGGACTGGACACAGATGTGAATTGGAAATAATGTTAAACGCCTCTGTTCTTAATTCAAATAGTGTTCAGTTAAAATTATTGACTCGCAGTCCCAATAACGATGTCGGCATTGCAAATTCCGATTCCAAATATACCTTAATGTATTGGAGCAATGATACGAACCATGCGTGCTTAATGGTTCAAGATCTTGCTTCAACTGCCAACGTTATAGATGGCTTGATTCCGTCAATGCGGTATACATTTTGTTTTGAGACAGGAATAGTGGACTTCTGCGAGGTAACACGTTACAGTTTGAATTTACCAGCAAACTGCGTAACGGTTTATATGTCACAAACTACCGTCGTTCCGACGAATTCTACGATCATCATTGGTGTGTCTTTATCAGCCGTGTTCGCCATTTTAATAATAATGGTAATAATAAGTATTATCTTAGTCAAACAACAACATTGCTTGCCATTAGAGGTTGTGCTCGATTCCTGTAAATGTTTATCGTGTACTCCAAAGAGAAATAAATCATTAAGGTGTGGTCATTCAGCACAAACTCGCGTCCTGCTCTCGGATCCACCTATTTATACTGGACCACGTCAAGATGAGTTATCTCCCTCTAAAAATAAAAACGGTAAACGTCCGTCTACAAGAGCCAAATCCTATGGTTCTAAATCGGAAGCGCCTAAAACTTTAACGACTCTTCTTGAGAACACTGAGGCTGTGGAATTTATTGAAACAAGTCTTTCAGAACCTTTAGCTCATCCATCGGTGTAATCTAGTCCGTGAACGTATGTATGCGATTTTATGTGAGCTATATTGATAAAACAAACAAAAACAAACTCAACTTTGAAAACACTACTAAATGAATGTAAGTTGTGTCATGTTTCTGAAACAACTTGATCCAGTTTACAAAATGTTACTTATTTGTGCTTGATACCGATAAGAAGTTATTATCGAAACGTCGTGCCTGTGTATATTGAAGCAGAAAGTCTTGTCTCAGAGAACTGTTATTAAAGGATTATAAACTTCAATTGATTTTTCAATATACTACGGCGCAAAATAGTCCCTATACATGTATACTGATCGTAAGACACATAGCTTACCAAAGGGTGAGCTAAGGGGTTCGAACAGTCTCTATAATGTGTGCTATACCGGGAAAATGCTCTGCTTCTTTAACGAACCCTGATACGCTATTTAAATTAAATATTAACTGGATTGTAACTAGCCTGTCATGATCTGCCCCCACCCCCTCCCAAAAGAGAATTCTAATTGTGTGTCTAAGCTTAAACTTGTATATTTATCTGTCTCAATAAAACTGATTTATGTTGGGTTTTTTATCAATGTTTATTTTATCTATTTATACACACATAACATTATCATATCAACAGATTATTAAATATTTCTATTCAAAACAAAATTAAATACTATAAAATTAAATAAATACTACACAATATAATGTACAATTACTGATTTCTAGTGTTGTCAATTAGAAGAAACTTGATACATGTAATTGTGATTGTACTCTCTGCACCGATGTGATTTTAGGATAAGGTAAATGGTAGTGGGGGTGGGTTTATCAAAACTCTTTCCCAGCAGGGCAAAAGGTTTAGAAAGCATTGCACCGCCTTTTGGTGTGAATATTTTGAGTTTGAAGGGTGCAATAGGATTAATAAATTTGCTAGAAAACATAGCACTTTATCGGTAGCCCAGGAGCTCAATTATGCACTATCGTATCCCCCCAATTTACAAATCGCGTGGGTGGCGGTGTCGCATGATCTAGTGGCAATGGGGGTGGTGGTGCAGGAGGGAGATCTTTAAGCCCAGGTCCACATGGAGACGGTGGTGGGGTAGATTCACTATTTAAACCATTGGTAAATCCAAGCTGTGGATTAATATTTTGATTTGGTAATGGGGGTGGTGGGGGTAAATCACTGACAGATATATATTTACCATGCCTCTTTGGACTGTGTCGTTGTTGTCCATTACTACCCCGTAGAACAGATTTTGGTACGTTTTCATATATTGGAGTTACATAATAATCATTTTTATTATCTGCTGATTCCACTTGGTCCTGTTTGGCTCTTTCTGCATTTACACTTGTGCTTTCTTCACCGAACTCGTCATTAGGTAGGTCTTTGATATGGGAAATATCAGCATTATATGTAGCTGTTTTTTCTGAAGAATCAATGTCCTCTAAATGAATATTCACATACGTGTTTTCACTGTGGTGTTCGGGTGGTCGATCATCTATTATGTTCATGTCTAACGAGGGGTTTTCAATGTCGTGTTCAATTACAGACTCTTGATCATTATCAGTAGGTGGTTCACTTACAGCTAGGTGGATTGGAGATGACTCTGTATTGTCAACTAAGGAACAAGCACCCGGTGGTGGTGTTTCTGGAGGGGTACTGTGTTGGATAGTTACAGGTACAATCTCAAGTGGCTCCGCTGTGCTATCAGGAGTTTGTTCATCATCTCCGCCAATTTCACCAGTCACTGGAGCTGGTAGTGGAGTTTGGGATGGGGTTGGATGGCGAATCACAACGGGCTCAACCACACTATCGTAGCTTGTCACTTGGACTTGCGGCGAAGACCTACCCAAGGCCGCTGCATCTTCATTTGGTTCATTAGATTTGTTATCATGTTCGGAAACGCCAAAGACAAATGATGGGATGCTCAGACTATCCTGTTCAATAATTGGTAATGTCTGTAGTTTTGGTGCATCTAAAGCACCATTATATGTAGCTGTCTGGTCACTGACGTGTTGTTGGACAGTCTGTAAAAAATAAAAATATAAAAACAGGTTTTCAGTTGTAAATGTACTTAATGTTATGAGGCGTCGGTTATGGGGGAATATGTCAACATATGTTAATCTCAATGCTCCAAAATTGTTCCATATTGTGTACTTCAATATATATGTGACATAACATAATATACAAAAACAAACCTTTGTATAACACTATTATATCCTTCGACAGATGTGCAATTCTGTGCAACGCTATAGTAAATACAAAGTGATTGTATTTCACCCAAAAGAAGAGATTCTTCTAACCACCGACAAGAGCGATTTTTTTTGTTAATATCGGCCAAAGAATTACAAAAAATGACCGATAAAGAAAGATATTTTATAGCTCTAGATATACATATTCTACACACCATATCCAACATTATGGATCACTGAAATTGACTAAAAACACTCTTGTTGGTGATCCTTAAGACTGTTTTTGTCTAAATTTTGGATATTTAATAATAAATGTGCAAATCTATAACATATCTTCCCTTGTCGGTCATTTTTTGCAATAATATGAGCGCTATTGACAAAGGTAGCGATCTTGTCGGTGATTAGTAGGAAGTCGCAAAAGAAGCATACTGTTGTTCAAACCTACCTCGTCTAGTTCTGTAGCATTCCTTGCTCTCCATTCCTCCTGTACTTGTTGACGTTGTCGGATATATAACTCTTGTTGTGTTTTATTCGTAGAATAGAAATCTAGTTCATCATCTATATCTGTATCGTATCTTTGAAACTGCCCTTTGGTCCATTCGTCAATACGAGCAGATCGAAATTGGTGAATGCTTGAAATCGTGTGCTTTGGAAGTGTGGGTTTAGCTTCACCACCTGACTTGCGAGAAGTTCCTAAAATAAAATATGAACAGTAGTCGAGAGAGAGAGAGAGAGAGTGAGAGAGAGAGAGAGAGAAATCGGGTTTAACGTCCGCTCGACACAAACTAGGTCATTTCGGGACCAACACACGGTTCAATTTTATTTCAATAATTCGCTTACGCGTACGGGTCTTTAGCAGTGGGAGGAAACCGGAGGACCCAGAGAAAACCCACGAGGTTGGACAGGCGACCCTACTCCTTGGCACGTACAACCGGGGAATCGAAACCACACCTGTTGACTCAAAGACAGATCTTATGATACAGCGCGCACGTGCTAACCATTCGGCCATCCAATCCCCATTGAACAATAGTAATAATGTCTAATTGTAACTATGATGTAATAATACGTAAATATTCAGGTTTTCATTATGGGAGAACAAATGAATGAAATGGTTTTAACGACTTACTTTTCTTCACCCTTTGTTATGAAGATCCGAATTATAATGCAATGACGACGGGTCACGATAATACTAATTTAGGTCTACAAACTATCCTGATAGTGATAGCAACGACGACGACAATGATGATGATGATGATGATGATGAAAAAATGGTGAATCAGTCAGTTAATCTAGGCTAAAGAAATGTGAAAGTTTGGGAACTTACCATTTTTCAGTTCCTAGAAAATAATAAAAAAGTATGACAATAATATAAAATAATTCTATATTAATTAGATCCACATCAAGTTTATTTTTATAACAAAACTATTTCAGCCGTATAAAAGCTGCTATTGTCATTTTTATCCGCCTTAAATTCAAATATATAGATGGCACAAAAATACACTTAAAATACGTAGCAAATTGAAATGCAACGATATGGGATTTAACGTCCTACTTTTCTGCTAAAAAAAACCCATACTTACAGAAACTCTTGTTGACAGACTTGTGGTAGATCTGTGTTTCTTTTTTACCTGTTATATAGACATAATATATAATTATACAATGGCGTTCAGACGAAAAAATTCAAATAAACCAGTTTAAATAGATATGTCTATTGGCATATGTCTATTGGCTATATATCCTCAGAAATGGGGGTTTAACACCCTTCTTTTCTGCACGGATTTGGCTAATGAAGACAGGCATACACCATACAGTGTGCTATGAAGGAAATTTAGCCCATACAGTAGCACTACGACCTAGTTTTATTTCGAATTCCAACTGTCAAGGGTTCTTTTACATGCACGCAAATGTGTACAAGGGACCTTTATTTAATAAGGAGAACGCAACTAATCGACTTTCGATTTGTATATTCCATTGCCTTCTGAGAAAAATGATGACGGTTGTGATGTGTAATTAACTGAAACCTTTGGCCGATGGTGCCAGGACAGTTAAACTAGTTTAGCGCATAGTTCGTGTGAAGATATGTTAAACTATTATAGTTTGTATTAGTACACACAATCACTGAAATCAACCGTTTAATACTAAATCGACCCTAACGGGAGGCAACAAATTACTACGCCCAGTAGATCATGTTCACTATAAAATACAAAGCTTTAACACTAAACATCCGGATTTTCAGAAAATATGAAAGCTGTGTTACCTTAGTGCTCTGTAGTCCAAATATCATAAGAATTGTGAATCCCTGAAATTAAAAGGTCCCGGGTTATCTTACAGATAAAGAAGACGGGTGTTCGTCATGCAGTTTGGTTTGAGGGAAATCCGAAAGACTAGATATTGACCTAGCCAGGCCTTCTTTCCTACACCCACTGATAACAGGAAGCCACATGGAAAATTCAGAGGAAAGTTCTTGACCTGTACCGGGGTCGAACCCCGGACCACCCGGTTAATGAACCAGCGCTTTATTTGCTGAGCCGACCCCCCCCCCTCGGTGAATAAGTAAACAGTCAAGATGTACAACCATCCTAATCTAATTCTAATAAGATTATACTTTCATTTTGAGATATCTTCATGTACACTTCACATATATTCATCAAGATTTGTTAGTGCTATCTGACAACTTATCAAAGTTTGTTCTTGCACTAGTTTATGTCGTAGATTTACATAATAAACTTAGCTAACAGAACTAAAACTTATTTAAAGAGACATTTTAATAAGTGGTACCCGGTGTTCGGGACAAAATCAGAACTATTTTTGTTTTGCTTTCTCACATAAACCACCACGTTTCTTACCTGTAAGATGTTAAACACGGCAAATACAATCTGTAATACGTACAGGTTATCGTGGTATTCATTCACACTGAGTGTTCCTATTACCCATGTTAAAATGGTAAACATGCATACCACGAACAGGGGAATAACCCCAATCCTATAAATAAAATTAAAAATATGAATGAACATTACGTCATTAGTGGCCATAGACTGTTTATCATCTTGTGATATCTGAACGCGAATTCGACCTGGAACACGTGAAGTGATGCGAATGTCATGATTTCATTTAAAGTACACATCAAAAAAAAAATTAATCATTCAATAACGCCCACAATGGAAACAGCCATCGCTACACTTTGTCATACATTGTGGAAACACAATAGTAGCTTAATCCTCGCTAAGATGCAAACAAACTGATTATTTAACATTTAATTATGAAAACATATTCAGAAAATCAAAGGTAGACAACCGCTCGACTTAAATTCAATCCCGTTAAAATGAAATCTATCAAAAAGGGATACTGCCGGCATTTTTTTAAAGAGTTATAGATGGGGCTCAATAAAGCTTTTTGACCATAACGAAAGGATACTGAATGTTGTGAAATATTCAATTCATCATATCTTCATGAAATGAAATGCGGTTTAACTATAGAAATACATACAGACGGAATGTCCACGCGACAGTATAGTCAGTATATATTTCTATGGTTTAACGTCCTATATAACTACACCAACCGACTAAGGAGAAAATCATTTGACTAATATTATTTTGAGAGATGCTGGAGATTAAACATACATTATGCAAGAGCTAAATCTGTCTATTGCAGGTCTTTCTTTAGGCCTGAAATGTTATCTAAATTATTAATTAGACATTAATTAAATTATCCAGACCATAATAAACTCTCGATGGCATCGCTAGCCTGCGATATTTACTGGATTATGATCCCATTTGCTGCTCGACTTCCATGAAACGGATGATCGAGACTATATTTTTTTTATCGTACTGACTTTAGTACACAGTTATTTGTCCGCTCACAGGAATCTTTTTGTTTTCTGATGAAAATCCAAATATCCTTTCATCAACAATAACAACGGAATGTCATCTTACCTCAAATGTCGTTTGATCCTGTCAATGTATGATCGATAAATGGAACCAAAAACAGCCAGTAACATTATCTATAAAAATATGATATTTAGCATTAATTGTTTTATTCATGATATATACTTTTAAATACTAAAACATGATGCAAAATACACAGCAGTGTGACCGCTTTTTTAGATGCAATGTGGTAAAATGTACGATAACAACCAGTAGTTATACTTAATTGGAAAATATTTCCAGATTCCTTTAGCTATCATACTTAAACATACATTATGCAAGAGGTAAATCTGTCTATTGCAGACCTTTCTTTATGCCTGGAATGTTTTCTAAATTATTAATTAGATATTAATTAACTGATCCAGTTCATAATCAACTATCGATGGTAAAGGATTTCTCCGATATTAAATAGATTAGAACGGTTCAGCCATATTTTGATTTAATTTAAAAATGGAGGAGCGAGACTTAGCTTCGAACAACCAGTGCGGTGGTTGAAATTATTGCACACGTCTTGTAAAACCTTCAAAGGCTAATATCTTCGCTTGCAATAGAGTAATTCGAATGAAATTTTTAAATTATTCATTTTACATTATCTATTTTCGAACTATTATAGCAAGAATGACTAGCTCTTTATCTAAATTTTACATAATGTATCATTAAAATAACTTTTATTTGTTATTAAGCAACTCCTTATGTGAAATTTCGACATCCATAAATAAGGTGAAATATTTGAAAGTGAACAAAGGATCCGTTCATTATGTGTACTTGCATTTATATAACTGAAATATTATACTGAGAAAAATAATGAGTTATTAAATATCTTAGAAGTATCTGATGTTAGGTATACTTACAAAGACCATAGCAAGTATAGTGCCGATATAAACCCACCATAACCTGGTATTTATCTGAACCCAACAGCTAGAAAATAGTATGATCATTTGATTACCAATATTCTAAATACATACATATTAGTAGTTTGAATAAAACCAGTTAAAAATGGACCACAGGCTCGCTAACAAGGAGGTCTCGGGTTCGTTCCCGGTGCTGGCCTAGAAAGTTCCTCGGTGTGGTTATAGTTGAATTTTCCTACATATTATGCTTACATTCGTATTTCTTGTAGCATATAGCAGATCACGACTCATGCTGGCATTAAACAATGGTTTCTTTGGGTTGTATTCCTAATTGTTTTCAAATTTGAGTGAAGTCTGTGTCACTACAGACCCGGGACTGTACAGCTAGCCCCCGGATCCATTCACTTTTTTTAATTGTTTGTCTGTTTGTGTTTTTCTTAGTATGAAGTCTTGTCCGTTTATTTGTTTTTGTGTAAATTTTGTGTGGTGCAGTCCCCCTGCACTTACTATTATAAGTAGTGTTGGACGGAGCGTCTGACAAGATACCGTTTAAAGTCGTGCGGATGGTACGAAAAACCGAGTTCCCGTGTACACATTTGCGTGCACATAAAAGAACCGTTGATAGTTGGAATTTGAAATAAAAATAGCTCGTAGTGCCGCTGCCTGGGCTAAATTTTCCCCATAACTCACTGTGTGGCGTATGTCCGACTTCATTAGCCCAGTCAGTGCAGAAAAACAGGATGTTAAGCCAGATTCCATTTGGTGATACCCAACTAAACGTTTATGAATTCAATTCAATAAAGTAAACTCGAGAATTCAAGGCGACAAGACATTGTGCAAACTAATTAGTGTATTACCTCTATCAACCACCATAGCTAAAACATTGGTTTACTACAGACAAGAATAACTGCCACAACACGATTGTAATTTTGTCATTTCGGAACGTTCAGGATTCACAGTTGATAACTTCATTAAGTTTTAATAAAATCTTTTCAGACAAGGGAACATATTAAGGCTGTATTCTAAGTTAAATTTATACATACTTAACAGGATTGCCATACTCTTCTAATTTGGTATAGGCTGCATACCCGGCTACTACAGCACCTGGTAAAACTAAAGAAAAACGACATTATGTTATCAAAGTTAAGAATTGGTGGAACTATATAATATGGAAAAGGAAACGGGCAAAGTTGTTAAATTTCTGACACGTAACCAAAATCTAGGTATTAATACTATCTTCATATGAAAAGCTTTATTGCATTTTTATTCCATTTCAGTTTTGCAGGACACGGTGTTAAATCGCAAAATCAAAGTGCATCTCTTCACAGTGAAAACAATTCGACTGTGTTGGCACTATTGACCACAGTTGTCGCTTCCATTATTGAGTCGTTCTTATAAATCACTGTTTTGTTGTTCATTCTGAGTGAAGTCTGTGTCATTACAGGCCCGATGCTGTACAGCGCAGTGGGCCTTACGGTTGTCTCCCAGATCCATTCATCGAGGTTGTGTCTTGTCCGCAGGTTTGTTTTATCGTTTTTTTGTGTGTAGTGCGGTCCTCCTGCACTTACCATTATTACCTAGCCTTCTACATTATCCAGAAAGTTATACCTGTTAAGGTAACCTTTGGTAACCTTGGATTTACTGATTTCATATTCTGTTATTCTCATATTCTGTTATTACACCGTACTTCATAAAATCCCAATTCGGCTTGGAACTGTCGACGAAATTCTAGACTTACCCCATGATACAAAGAGACTAGCTACAATACAACATTTGTTTGTTTTCTTAAAACTGGTTGTCAATATATGTATAATAATTGTTGATAACGTAAACACGGCTACTGTTGGAAAATACTGTAAACATACTGATATTATCCTACACTGATCCTAAAATATAAACAGACATATATACAATAGGGGATATTGAAATGCAAATACCTATGAAGGTTGTGATATGATAAATGGTCATGGACACTTGACATGCTCTGAGCTGCACATGCGAAACGCAATAGCGCCATACACATGGGAGGGGTTCATCGTCAAATTTGACACTTCAAAGAAGGGTTGATGAAAACTGCCGCGTGCTGGTTTATCTATCCATGTTTGCTTTCCTATCGGTTCTTGCATACGATTTACTGTTTAGTGTATCTTTGTTTTAGTGTGTTACGTTTAATTTGATCGGGAGACGTGTTCGTCGACGTCAACGTCAACCGACAACACTGCGAGAATTGGCCGTGGCACTGCAAGAGAAGTGGGTCAGATTGCCCCAAATCGTGATTAGACGATTGATTAGGAGCATGCCACGACAAATTGCTGAATGTCTGAGGGTTGGTGGGGCAATTACTCATTATTAAGACATAAATCAAAAACGTCCGTTTTCACTTTTGACGGTGTATCTCTTTGCGAGTGAATGGAGCCGTCAGATATGAACTGTTTATGTTCATGTGTAGGCAATTCGCCTGTTATTAACATACACTGGTTACCTCTAATAAAACAGCAGTGCATTTCCGCAGTTTTGTATTGTTTCTGAATATCCCCTACTTTTTTGAAGAGTATATTAGTTCATCAAAGGGATGGGCCATGGTGCTAAAAGAAGTCTCACGAGTCATTACCATCACAAACAATAATGTTAAGCAAATGCATGTCTTGTAAACTAATCAATAGGAAGACAATTTGTCAGATTGTACCCTCGACACCAGCAGTGTCCCCAATGACTTTACTGACAGGAGTTATTGTGCAATTTTCAGCGAACGGCACATTTTCTCCAAACATATGTATGTGTATAACATTAAATACTTAACCCATTGGATTCTACTCTATGTATTTAAAGTAAATGTTTTAATCTAATTTAAAGGGAGTAAGCTAACCTTGGACTCTACTATAATATGTATATAAAATTAAACCTTTTAATCTAGTTTAAAGGGTGTAAGCTTACCTTGGACTCTACTCTATGTAGTCCGATAATAAGAAATATATTACTGGTAATAACAGCTAAACATAGACTTGTCACTAAAACTGTTAATGATCCGGATATATGTCTATAATAATTGCACAAGAAAAGAATGATAAAATTATATTCAAACAACGTAATGTTTTCTTAGTATTAGATCTTAGAAGGGTGTTTGAATTAACACCCAAAGAAAGTATATTTAAAACGGGAGACACAAATCACAAATAGCATACAATATTAGCCTAGTCGTTCGAGTGGGACTAAAAAACCGAGGTCCCGTGTTCATACCCGGTGTACTGGGAGTACGTAAAGTAACCATTGGAATTCGAAATAAGAGTAGATCATAGCGCCACTGTCCGAGCAAAGCATCCCTCATAGTACACTGTATGGCATATGCCTTTCTTCATTAGCCCGGTAGGCGCAGAAAAGTAAGACGTTAAACCCCATTTCAAACTATTAAACGGGTTGATGCAGAAATATAAATGTATTGAATACTTACTTATAAAAGAAAATATAGAAGACGATGGTTAGTAGACAACAGAATATAGATAAACCACAGCCTATATAGTTGATTAACTCTATTATAGATCTCTCAGATCTCTGTAATACCAAAATATTGATTAAAATTAGTATAAACTAGTTGGAATGTATATACAAAACAACCATGTTATATACTTCAGTCATCGCTTTATAATATAATAATGTTGACAAATTGCAATTGACCATATCTTTATAAATACTAAACAGAGCTGAACCATGTGGACCGATATTCCAAAGGATTAACAAACCCATAAAGGCTGATCAGAGACGAAGCGAAAAATCAATCATGTCAGTTTACCTGTTCACTATCGTATTTCACTTTATCATGTTCTTACTTTGCCCGCACTGTGACTTATTTGCTTGACTCATACAAAGCAACTTCGAATAAGTCAAGTTAATGTAAATAAAAGGGACGATACCTTCTTTCTCTTGCTTCTATAAACAAACTTACCATTGGAGTAGGACAATTTGAAAATATTGGTTGCTCCCATGTTCCATTCTTGCATGTTCGAAAAACAAAACCTACAAGACACATTTGATATTAACTATAAAGAAAACGAAAGTCATTCAGGTGTCAGTACGACATGTCATATGTAATGTTGAAATGTGCACATTTGGCAATCAACAGAATCAGAATTCCTTCATAGACATAATACTTAAACTACTAAAACTAGAGATATGCAAAAATTGATACTATAACCACACCACACAGTAATAATCGGGAAATTAGTTATTTTTCGGGAAAATAAGTAAAATAGGGTACTTTGCTATCTTATTGTTCAATTTTCATTAGACAGTTAAAGTATTGCGCCCCTTTCAAGAAAGCTTGACCGGGAAAGGAAGAAATAATTACATCTATTCAACAAAAATAGTTCCCTTTAATACCTAAATATACAGATCCCGGTGATCGTAATGGAAGCTTTCTTTCCTTGTCTAACACTTCAAAACGAATGCGTTTAAATCTCCCTTTCATGAAAAATAATTTTGTGGCTGAAGACATTCAATTTTGTGGGCCATTTTTTAATAAATATTAGATTTCAGTTTTCTTGTTCAATAATAAATTGTCATTGCTCCTATCACCCATTATGTCTTAATCAAAGGTGACATGATTTGATGGGAGATATTGGACTGTAGTATGTGGGGTTTTGTCTGGAATTTGTGTTTTTATTAACATTTGAGTAAGTTTTGCTCATGAATACCAGAGCAAGAGATAAAGAGATTTCCGTGTGCTGAACTGAATAGAACTTAACTTTATAGTAAACAGCCGTGGCCATAACCTCATCAACGTGTGGGAATGTAATAGTTAGGAATAAATAATAATTGGATGTTAATTAAAGTTTTCAGTTATTTTTTTCTGGAATAATTACCTGGATGATTAGGTGTTCTACAGGGTAGTTCACTTGTATCCCCTGATTTTGTTGCATTCCATTGGTAGCCGCCTACTTGGTCCTCCCCACAATCTTAAAAATAAAGCCAAATAAATATGAATTTAGCTTTTATTATGTCCTGTACGTCAAGAAAAGTTAAGTATGGAGAATGACGTCATTATAAGGTCTAAGACTAGTAATTGTTTCCCCCGATCTCTTCAGATGTATTTCCTCTATTTATAGCAATTCCATTTCCCCACTTTTGAGTGGCATTTTTGTTGACTTTTTGGTCTGGAATCAAAGTGTGGTTGAATTAATGTCGGTTTACACTGAACCGATTTGAATCGAATTACTTGTCTGAACCCATATTCAAAGAGCGACAACTCTACTTATCGAAAACGCCCCCTTTTTGTCTTGTTGTTTCTGAATACTTGCTTCTTTACGAAACAATAATCCCTTAAATAATCACACAATCTGTTTTAAATATTTGTATAAACTCTGATCGAAAATCTAAAAGTATCCCTTTGTCGCCAGACAACACGACATAGCTATCGGAAGCCAGTAAAAACTGCTAGATGTAGCCTATTATTTTTAAAAAAAATGATAAACTGGTTGGTAGGGATCGCAACGTTCAATTGATCAAAATGTGCGAATACCTAGATGCTACTCTCATCAAAATGTTGCGCTATGTGCCCTTATTTCTTTCGGACTGACCATGTTTTCTTATTTTCTGCCAGTCGCAGGTAGCGCAGTTAAAAACAGCTTTTAATCGTCGTAAAGGTGGCAGAAGCCCAGATTAAAAGTTCTCAAATAAATATAAATACACGCTTTCGACTTTAGACAGAAAGCCAAAACTAAGAATGAACACACATTAGGTTTATCAGAAATGTGTGCTACTAAAAACACAGGTTGTTTTAGTGTGCTTTCAAAATAGAAAATACATTCCGACGTCAGATAGAAGACCAAAACTAGAGAAATTAAAAATACATTATGCTATTTATTTTATGTTCTAATAATACGAATATAAAATAACTTATAAATGAAGAAAATGTATACTCACTTTGAGTCGAAATACTAACAAATAATAATGTTAATATTAAACATCCATAGTATAATCCTATTGCCATTTTGTCACCATATTAATTGAACTAAGGTTTTAAATATACGTGCATTGGGCTTCGAAAACTAATCGACACTTCTTCTTTACAATAGCCGACCCGTGTTCATTGTAAAACTGCACAGCACACCTCGGTGTTATTTTCGGTCACAAAAAGAAATAAAGGATTATAAACGAATTATCGGACTTGTTTATTGTGAATAGGACAATAACCCAAACACTATTTACTGTCAATACCACATATAATATAAAAGGGTATATAAATGGATATGTTTAAAGTAGCTCTTAATGTTTAATAAACTAGATATACTGTGTTCCAAAAGCAGTACATACATTGTAAGGGACAGGTCTACATTTCAATTAGAAAAATAGGACAATTTGTCATAATGTGTGCATCAAATATACCAAAAGGAAACAAGTGTGTGCAGTATAATATTCTAGTATTACTCGTGTTAACTGTCTTTATTTTTTATTTTTTTTATTTTTAGCATCGCAACTTGTTAAAATGACAATATGCTGTTTTCAGTTGAAATTCTACCTTGGACACGACAAAAACTATATAAAATATCTCAATCATGCGTTATATATATATGTTAGTAAATTCGAGAAATACAATTGAACGGATACGTTTTTGAACCATTTTAACGGTCCCTGATTGTCAGACTTGTGGTTTCCCGCTCTAATAGTTGATATAACTATATTACGTTCCATTCTTTATACGCTTTTCATACGAGTCTTTATGTAGACGGTTAGGTATCAAAATGTATAAAAGATCAACTGTACATCAAAACCAATGCTATACACTGCAAGAAATCTCTGTTGTGTCAGCTTATGGTTTAATTTTCATAGTCCAGGACGTTATGCAAATTTACAGGTTTTGATGTTTTACTTACACGTAATAGTTATAATTAGGTACCTTCAATTATTACCATATCTGATCTCCGCTAACAGAGGAACTGAAATGGTGTTTAACGTGGAGTTAAGAATATTATTAGGTCATTTTGAGACTAACATACGGTTATTTTTGTTTCTATGGTCAAGTGTGACTTTTTGATATGTGTAGGGTTTTGGCATACATTCTAACTGGACGCCTGGACCCACATTGCGGGTAACCATTGTCGCGCAGCGACCCATTTCAAATTCCGGGCACTACTTTTCAGCGACAACCCATAGGGTAGGGAATGGCGATATTTGCGTATTGACCAAGCAGGCGATGGCTTAATTCGCCGCCTCACTAAAAACTAGTATATTGACAATGAACAACACTAGTCTATTACTAGTACGCAATTTTTTCTAGATGTGGATGGAGGATAAATTAAATTGAGCTTGGTGGTATACATTGGCATTGGTTTCATAGCTAACACAGACAATGTTCTTGTTGGAGATCGTATAAGCTTGTGAGGGATCCACGGTGGCTATGGCTAAGTGGCTCGCTAGCCTGGAGGTCGCGTGTTCGATCCCTGCATTGGCAGAGAAAGTTCATAGGAATTTTCCGACGTGGTTTCCCCTTTGTCAATGGTGTAGAACGGAGGGATTGGCATGAACAGCTGTCTAGTCGTTCAGATGGGACAAAAAATCGTGTACATATTGGCCTACACATAAAAGATCCCTTGAAATTTGGAATTTGATATAAGAGTAGGTCATAGTGCCGCTGTCCGGGTGTTATTTCCCCCATAGTCCACTGTATGGCGTATGACCGCCTTCATTAGCCCAGTATAGGAGCAGAGCAATAGGACGTTAAACCCCATTTTATTTCATTTTATTTCATTTTATTTCGTTTAAGCTTGTCTGAACTGTATGGAACTTGCATACAAGACCGTCTGATACAATATGATTAATACTTTGTCAGTCAGTTAACCATTCGTAATTACCTTCTGCTAATTCCCTTTTCTATAACATCTGATACCACTCATCCTTTATTTAGGACCTTTCCAATCATAGCTAAACAAGTGCCACATATACACAGAAAAACAACCAGAAGACAAAAATCCAGTCACTTGTGATGACATGGGGACCTATGTGCAATATTAAAAATGTCATTAAACAGTTGAACAACTTTGAAGATGGCTATGGCTTATTTTGTGTTTAATAGACAATAATCATCTACTTGAAAATCAACCCAAAGCAAATCATATATTTGTCTCCGCCTTTGCTAAGGGACTATCTAGTACAACAACTCTGCTTTTAATTGGGGTGATTAGACTAAGTAGAGATCAACGTTTAGACGTGGCTATGCTTTCCAACATGATTCTGATGTTAGATTAATAGTTCCAATAAATCAATACTTGAGTGGGAGCCACGGTGGCTAAGTGTGTAAGACGCTGGCTCTCTAGCCTGGAGGCCGCGGGTTCACTCCCGGTGTTGGTCGAGAAAGTGGCGCAGGACGGAGGAGGGCCTACAAGGACAGATTTCTTGTCGTTCAGATGGAACGTAAAACAGAGGTCGCATGTACACATTGGTGTGCACGTAAAAGATCCCTTGGCAGTTGGAATTCGATACAAGAGTAGGCCGTAGCGCAACTGTCCGGGCTAAATTTCCCTAATAGTACACTGGAACGCGTATGCCCGTCTTCAATAGCCCAGTCGGAGCAGAACAGTAGAACGTTAATCCCATTTTATTTATTTTTCATTTTTCATTTAGTTGGGGTAATATTTGGTGAAATAGGTTAAGTAGAGATAAACATTTGGACTTGTAAAGAAAATTGACAATACAAAATGTTTATTATGACTTTGTTTTTGATACAGAATTGGATGCAATGCTGGAGTAGCACCGGTAGATGGTTATTCGAAGAGAAGTAATCTGGAACCGTTAGCATACTGATATTTTTAATTATTGCATAATACAATACTCTTTAAATCATTCCAATATAAAATTTTAATAGAAGTCTAATGCAAACATGTAAATGAATATATACAATTCAATCAGTAACACAATCTCCCTAAATCACCCAGTCTCCCTTACCAACCTACTTTCAAGTTCCCTTAAACCACCCTACTGTCGGTTTGTCAGTCTTACTAAAATAACCTACTAATCTCTCCCCAATAAAATGAATATTTGGTGCAAACCCTCTTTCCTAAATTGGTGATTGGTGAGTATAATAATTATAGTTTGGTAGTCGTACTCACACAATTAGAATATTCGAATTGTATTTTAAAATTCCCCAATTTTTTATTTGGAAGAGGTGGATTTAAAAACGAATCACCCACCCTTAAAAAGACCTGTTAATGCATCCAGTGTCAACATTAAATTGAAGAACATAATATTATGTCAGTGTAAAAAATAAAGCAGTTTGATCGATTCACTCAAACCTGTCTTTCATTAATCTGTGATTATGTGGCTGTAATCATTATCTATCTACATTAGATCAAAAGCTGAAATGAAATAATACCATGCGCTAAAAATGAACACCATTGCAATAAAATGTACGTGAACGAAACACCCAAATATTGCAAAATATAAAAATGACAAAAAAACTTTGCAGAGAAAATGAGACTGGTTCAAGTTTGATTTACTTCAAGGTAACCAAGTATTGTATTTTGCATGTCTCGTTATATTTTATCTTTTATCATTGCTTGATAATGACTAGAGAAGCCTAGTGAAACGTTGCTTAGTAATAAGCAGTAATTGTATTCCATAGAATTGTGACCTGTATATGGTTTAAATTTGCTCTATTTTTAATCCATCAATTTAAATCTTTAATTTGACATCGTTATTTTAAAGTGTATCTGTGGCAAACATAATTAGTTGAAATATAATATGAAATATATCACAATGTGAAAAATACAATTTAAAAATGAGAACACCCGATAACATTTCGAACTTGACTCAATTACATATTTGTAAGTTTATTTACGAGTAAATGACCATAAAAAGGGAAATAAAACATATATGATAATATTATAGCGGTATATTAGATTCAGAATTCTAACATGCTGTCGTCTAATTTCTAACTTCTATTCATGTAATTTCATACTTCTATTCATGTAATTTCTAAATTAAGACAATGTATAATCCAACCTCTTTATTTGTTCAGTGTAAATTTTAATTGTATTTCATCTTATTTCTATTATTAAGACATAAAAAATGTCTAATTCATTGTCGCTTTACATGTTGAGCATGAACGTCGAACAAATTTAGAATTTTGATACTTCTACCTAGCAACAATCATGTTTGGTGTCGCCACCGTGTGCTCAATTTGGCGATTGGGCACCTGATCGGGACTATTATGTTGATACAACCGACTCGCTCTTCGCCAGGTTGAATGGTTTGGCGGAGTGTTAAAATTAAAAACAACATCGAACGTGATATGGTTTGCAAAATACTATTTCAAATATAAGCTAAAACAGCATTTGTTCATTTTTTTTAAGACAAGTGCAGGATTTGGAGAATTTTATTTGCTTTTTTTTACAGTTGACCCAATTAATATTAATATACCGTTGGTATATATTCTTTTACGCCTCTAAAAAATGTCCCTGTATACTATCCGAATGACTAGTCACTGTCCGTGCCAGACCACCGTCCTGTATTAATAACAAGGGATGGAGAACCACGCCGGAATATATCGGTTATATCATAGAAATATATTTTTCTAGCAAAATTAAGCTTTATAATATTTCTGACATTATTAGTTCCGTCCGTGTGATTTGCGGAGGCTGCCGTTATTGTGGACAGGGGTAGTGTTGAGTCGTTCGGATCGGACGAAAACCCTTGGCAGCTGTAATTCGTAATAAAAGTAGACCGTGGCACCACTGTCCGGGCTAAAATTTCCTTATTGCACACAGTATGGCGTGTGCAGTATGGCGTGAGTCCGTCTTCATTAACCTAATTGGTGTAGAAAAGTAGGACGATAAACCCCTTTTCATTTGGGTTTAATTTCGTCAAGGACACCGCTATCTATGGAATTCCGTATCGCTTTATGCAACTTGAATAAAACATTGTTGGAAAAAAAACTTCCATAATGTTAGTCAGGTCAGTATAATGAAGACATCAAAAATATCCACCAGTCTCCTTTAAAGCCCGTTTCATCCCCACAATATGGGGTTTCTAAATTTATATCTTTGAACTATTTCAAAAAAAAGTTTATCATTATAAAGTGATATTTTTGTTAGAGCAATAAT